AGAGGAGAGGAAAGCTGATTGTCAATAATAGGTATAAAAGAATCATTACTAAGATACTATAGATGTTAGAATGATAATAAGGGAACATCGTGAACAATTTTGTACTAATACATTTGACAAATCGGAGGAAACGGGCAAATTTCCTGAAAAAACATAGTATATCAAATGGAGCATTTTAGGATGCCCCAGGACCATTGATGGGTGGAGGGAGCAGGCTTAGACTGGCTGCTCTGCACCGAATCAGAGATGCTGGGCCACAGGGCTGGCCCTGGTCTGGCCATGGGTGAACATGGAGGGGACCATGACCCAGATGTGAGAGCTGATAGAGGAGAACGGGGTGGCTCTGGGGTGGTCGGTATGAAAGCTGTGCTCACAGGCATGTTATTTACCTTCTCTTGAAATCCCTCCCTCATGAGGAGGGCAGCCCCGGCCAAGTCACAGGGTCCCAGATGCTGCAGAATACAGAAACTGGGGGCGGGATTAACACAGACAGTGGAGATCAGAGGAGGAGACAGCAGATGCCCAGCCTGGCAGCAGCCAAGAGGGATAGGCAAGGAGGCCATGGACGAGGGTCTGAGCAGACTATGATGGGGATGCTGAGGTGGGTGGAGTTCTCAATATGTGGTTCTGGGCACTTCCCTGGTGGTCCAGTGGTTAAGACTGCACTTCCAATGCAGGGGGCGCGAGTTTGATATCTGAAATGGTTCTGGATGTTCCCTGGTCAGTGAGCTTACCGTAAATCTGATTCTCTGCAGCAGGGCTGGGCAGAGACGTGGCTTCCTCTAACACTGCTTCACTGAGTGGTACTCTTGTAGATACATTTCTGCAAAACTGTAGGTCTGTGTTACTGAACTTCATACTTTAGATAATCTGGTGCCAAGTTCTGACCTCGCTTCCTCATTTTCAAGCTTGCCATTCGTCTTGTCCGCTTAATTCCAGGCAAAAGGGCTCTGTTTTCAGGGTGGATTGGCAGAGAATGTCTGTTTCAATTTGATGCTATCTGTGATTTTTCATTTATTTTGATTACTTTTTCACTGGTTGGATTTTTAAGACTTTATTGGTATTTATGAGAATCAAACTGCATGATGTATAAAGGTGTTCTAAGATATATAGACTGTAAACCACAAGTTATGGAAGTGTTAGCTTCTTTCCCTGACAAAGTTATTTTAATTACAGCAGTCAATGAAAACTTTCCTCAATACTGTTCATGAAAGTAGTTGCATGGTGCCCCCCCCACCAAAGACACATGCATGTCCTAATTCCTGGGATCTGTGAATGTGACCCTATTTGGGAAAAGGTCTTCCAGACCTAATTAAGGATCTTAAGCTCTCCGTGGAATATCCAGTTGGTCCTAAATCCAGTGACCAGTGTCCTTATAAGAGACAGATGAGGAGATAGACACAGAGGAGCTGCCACAAGAAGATGGAGGCAGAGACGGGAGGGAGGTGCTGCAAGCCCAGGGAACTCTCAGATCCCCCGAAGCTGGAAGAGGCAGGAAGGACCCTCCCCTGGAGCCTTAGGCGGGAGTGCAGCCCAGCAACACCCTGACCTCAGGTGTCTGTCCTCCAAGATAGAGATGACAGGTGTGTGATGCTTTAAGATGCCCAGATTGTTGACATTTATATTAGCAGGAAACTAATAGGTTAAGAAAACACAAAATGCATCATCGTGGGTAGGTTCAGTGTGCCTGGGGATGGGGGTCACATTCAGGTTTGTGCAACTAAATTGTTTTTCTAGGGGAAAAATACAACACTTGTGTACAGAGATAAGTATTTCTAACATGTAGGTCTGGATTGTTAAATGCAAGCTAGAATAAATAATTCAAATTTTAATTTTTATGTTTATAGAAGCAGAATAGAAAGTCTAAAATAACTCAGAAAGGTTATTTGAAGTAAAACAACCTAAAAGCTATCTCCTTGTGCTGCTTTTCCATTTCAGAGCAGGTGGCACACTTTCTGTGTTCTGTGCGATTTGAAAACTGGGTTGGTGCTGGGGGAACAGCCCGGAGGCCGGTGTGGGTGACTGTGTTGCTACTGCCTCATTGAGGGCCGGGTTAGGCTGGGCCTGGTGCTCAGATGGGAAGAGAGATATGGAGTGGGAGGTTTTCCTCCTTGGGAGCTGCCAGGTGCGGCCTGTCCAGATGTGCCAGGCTGGGTGCCCTCCCCTCTGTCCTGTCTTGGACCCTCACCTGGACCCAGCTGTCCAATGGCCCTCAGTGGGGGGCTGGAGCCCTGCTCAGGAAGGGCTGCTTCCTCTAGGGTCCAAGAGCTGCTGAATGCTCTGGCTGTGCCTGCATCTGAGACCCAGGCCTACAGCTTTGCAGGGAGCAGTACTGCTAACAGTGGTAACCACAGTCTGTGTCCCACATACAGAGGGCAGCCTTGGCCCTGTGAACCAGTAGAGACCATGGCCTTGGCCCTTGGTGCACGCAGGGCCTGACAGCCAGCACGGCTGCTTCTCAGGATTTCTCTCCAGGGGCAAAGGTTCTCTAGTAGGCATCTTATTCAGGCACTGTTTGTGAGGGTAAAAAAAAGTGGAAACAACTTCCATGTTTGTTGAATAAATAGTGATGTAGCCACACACTTAAGAACTTACAGTTAAGAATCATACCGTGAAAATGTAGTTCACAGATGTTATTGTGGCCCCCTGTGTGAAGGGACAGTGAATGGTGACTGTTCAACGCCTCTCACCGCCTGGTCTCACCCACTTCCCTCCCGGTGCCTTCCCGCCCACCCTGGCTCCCAGCCACATGCATGTCGGAAGTTTCTAGACGTGAGAAAATACCTTACTTCTTAGGACAGGCTTGGATGCTGAGAGAGGCCTGGTGGCCATGTCCAGGTTTGGTGGGGACGTGGAGCCCCTCTATGTGTACAGACATGGGCAGGCGGTGGGCCTGGGGGTGGCATGGATTCTGAGCTGTGATGACTTCCACACAGCCCATCTTGGGGCTGTGATGGCCTCCCCTGGTGAAGCTGTTGGCCTGTGCATGGACAGGGGTCATCCTGGGCGGTGTGTCCCTGGTGTCTGACTCCATGGGGTGCGGGAGATGACAGAGGGAGAGTGCGGGTCCATGAGGTCAGCCAGGCTCCCGGCAGGCCCTGTGGACAGTCTCACTGACAGTGTTCTGGGAAATAAAGGGATCTGGCCGCTTGATTATTTAGATGCCCTTTAAGATGTCTCAGGAGAAAACCTATGGCTTGATTTTTGTTGTCGTTCAGTCACTCAGTCGTGTCCGACTCTTTGCAACCCCATGAACTGCAGCACGCCAGGCTTCCCTGTCCTTCACCGTCTCCCGGAGCTTGTTCAAACTCATGTCCATTGAATCAGCAATGCCATCCAACCATCTGTCGTCCCCTTCTCCTCCTGCCTTCAATCTTTCCCAGCATTAGAGTCTTTTCCAATGAGTTGGCTCTTCGCATCAGGTGGCCAAAGTATTGGAGCTTCAGCTTCAGCATCAGCCCTTCTAATGATATTCAGGATTGATTTCCTTTAGGATTGACTGGTTTGGTCTCCTTGCAGTCCAAGGAACTCTCAAGAGTCTTCTCCAACACTACAGTTTGAAAGCATCAATTCTTCTGTGCTCTGCCTTCTTTATGGTCCGTCTCTTACATCCATACATGACTACTGGAAAAACCATAGCTTTGACTATACAGACCTTTGTCAGCAAAGTAACAGCTTGTTTAAGAAGCAAAATAAAATGTCTTGCTCCCTGTTGCCTGGTGTGTTTTCAGGGTCAGAGGTGCAGAGTGAACACCCACTTCTCTATGCTTGTGGAGACATAGGCGTGTCCAGGGCCTCTGGACTCAGTGTTGACGTACTGCACCAACCCCTGGGCGTCATTTCTATGGCAATCTGCCTGGGGCTGGGGCCTGAGAAGCAGAATGGATGGGTGGTGAGGGCCCTGATCCGTGTGATATGCTAGGTGGCCTGGGGTTGGGGAAACTGGGCTGACGGAGCCATCCTGTCACATGTCCAGCAGCCTGGCCAGCTCTCTTGGGCGAGAGAGGCCAGCTTCAATCACTGTAGTTTCCCCAGCTTCTCCTTGCCCCGCTAGCTGTGTCATGCTGTGGCCACTGGTTTCTTGTCTGCTTCCCTCTGGTGCCTCCAGGGGCAGCTGTGACCATGGCTGGGCCCTGCTGGGTGCGGATGTTTGGCGGGGTCTGACAAGGGGTCCTCCTGCTGCTGGTATTCATTCCATCTGCCTGCCTTTGGCCTGATGGTCAGGACCCTTGGTCTGTCCCTTGGGTGTGGGTGCTGGGGTGCAGTCGGTGAGTGTTGTGGGTGGCATGAGGGCCGGGGGGCTGATTCCAGACACCTGAGACAGATGTCCATCCTGGGCTCCCCTCCTGGGAGGAAGTGCCACCAAGCACTCTGGAGGGCCTTCCAGCAACCCTGGTGAGCTCGGGTGACCGACCCAGGAGCCATGGGTCTGGGTACGGGGTGCCCCTCGTACCTCCCTTGGCTCAGGGAGGTGACTATGGTGTCCGTGACTGCCCAGCACAGGGGGCGTCACTCAGGATGAGCTGCCCTAGTGCCCGGTGGGCCTCACACAGTGGTACTGTCCCCCATGAGCCCCCAAGAATGTGGCCCCAGCCTGGGGCTCACAGTGTCACTCCCTGAAATGTGGGCACCCTGACACCCCACATCCCCATCCTGCCTGGACAAAGCATGCCCTGGACCGCTTGCTCTGGGGCCTGCTGGGGCCGGCTGCTAGCTGTGTGTCCGGGCCTGGCGGCCTCTCACTAGGCTGTGTCCACCAGGCAGCACCCATACCTTGTCGCGGCCATGTGGAGGTGTGGACCATGTGGAGATGGGTCTGTTGATGCCGCGCGTGTGGACTCGTGTGTTTCAGGGCTGATGTAGGAGGTACCGGCTGATCCGAGAAGCGCACTTTCTCAGAGCACGGACACAGCCCCCTCTGGCCCGGGCCCAGGCCTGGCGGGGCGGGCTGGGCGGGGCTTGGGGCTGACCGGCAGTCATCTGTCTTGTCTGTCTTGCAGTGAACGAGTTCACGGTCATCAGGAAGAAGTTCCGCTGCCCCTACTGCAGCTTCTCGGCCATGCACCAGTGCATCCTCAAGCGGCACATGCGCTCACACACTGGCGAGCGGCCCTACCCCTGTGAGATCTGCGGGAAGAAGTTCACTAGGCGCGAGCACATGAAACGGCACACGCTGGTGAGCGGCGCTGGGGGCGGGGCCACGCCAGGGCGGCGTGGGGTCATCACGGGGTCAGTGTGGGGAGCAGGGGTCGGTCCCGGGCACGCTTTGTCCAGGCAGGATGAGGATGTGGGATGTCAGGGTGCCAAGGGAAGCCCTGAAGTGGGGTCCACTCTGCAGTGGGAAAGACCAGGACAGCAGGGACCCCCACATCCCTCCTGACCGGCTCTGCCCCCAGCCCCAGGTGCAGAAGGCAGATGGGCACATCACCCCGGCCCCACCCCTCAGTTTCCCTTGAGACCGCCTCTGCTCCAGCCCGGCTTCTGCAGGCGCCTCCTTCCCTGCCAGGACCCTGCCCCCAGCCTGGGGCTCCTACCTCGCAGCCACTTCCTCCGTGGCCCTCCCACTCCCGCCCTGCATTCGCCTTGGGACCCCACGGCCCCTGGAAGGTCTGACAGCCTGGCTCACAGCTCAGGAGCAGGTGCTGTGTGGATGTATCTGCTTGGCCAGGAAGTGATAGAGAAGGTCGTGCTTGAAACCTCGAGGCAGGCAGAGTCACCAAGAAGCAAGCGAGGAACCCTTGGGTGGGTGAGAAAACAGGGAGGTCAGGTGACTCGGGGCGGGGGCAGGAGAGAACGTCGGGTGGTGTGAGTGAAGGGACCTCAGGGCTGCATGGGCTGGCCAGCAGAGCAAACCACCAGGAGGCATAAAGGGACCACATCTCTGCGGTGAGGGGCCCAGGTGTGTCCTGGCACAGGGCTGGCCATCCAGGGGGGCCAAGGCGAGATCTCAGGCATGACCCTGACGGAGTAAGCCAAGTGAGAGAGTGAGTCCAAGCTCACCGCCATAGCACCCGCATCCTTCCTTGCCCATCCATGCATTCATTCAGACAAGTGTCTGGCCATCTGGTGCTGGTGGACAGGCTCCCATGACTCCCCAGGAGCTGCCCCCACTGCCCAACCCTGCTGTGACCAGACTGAAGTCTTAGCTCTCTGGTTGGAAGAGGGTTGCATAAGTCCTGGATTTAAAATGTAGCAAATGAAAAGAAGCAGGAAGAGCCCCTGGATCTAATGATCTGAGGCTGTGTTCTGAAATCGGATTCTGTGAGGAGGCCCAGTTCCTCCTGACGTCCATCTCAGGCTGTGTCTGGCCTCCCACCTGCCCAGGCTGGTTGGCAGCAGTCCTCGGTCCTCGTGGTTGAGGTTTAGTGTAAGGGCACAGTAGGGCAGATCTTCAAGGTGGTCTGCGGGACCCCTTAGCTGAGAAGTCCAGGGCACTCAGCCAGGCACATGTACGGGTCCCTCCATAGGCCTGTCGGTCAGAGAATTCAGAAAGACTTCACTGTTCCCCTCCGAGCCCCCAGCCCTGCCTGCCCTGTGGGTCAGCACTCAGCCCAGCTCTGGGCTGTCCTGACGGCTTCCCAGAAGTCAGGTGGTCTAGTCACCCCTGGTCACTGCTGTTCCGAGGCTCCCATCATCCATACCCCCATGCCCCAGCCACTGGGGTCCCATCCATCCCCTCGTGGGGCAAAAGCCTGGGTGTGGCAGAGGTGACTGCTCTGCCATTTTTGCTGGGAGGTGTGGGGAGCAGCACAACCTCCAATGAGATCTGAGCCTGGGGCCAGGCCTGCTGGGGGACATGACCAGCCTGGTGCCCAGCACACCTCTGAATGGAAACAAGTTTTGGTGACACCTGCAATTCTGTATGTCCTGGCTTTGTGCCTTGACCCCTGGCCAGGGTTAGGGGTGTGAGCAGCCTAGTGGACTGAGTCTCCAGCCCCCACCCAGACCTCACCCTCTGGGCCCCCCAATCATCCCGTCTACCCCTGCACTGACTGCCAGCCCCCCCCCACTGACCTCTGTCCTCCCACACTGACCGTCATCCCCTGGCACTGACCGCCCCCCACACTGACAGCCGTGCCCCCACAGGTGCACAGCAAGGACAAGAAGTACGTGTGCAAGCTATGCAGCCGTGTGTTCATGTCGGCTGCCAGCGTGGGCATCAAGCACGGCTCACGGCGCCATGGCGTGTGTGCCGACTGCGCAGGTGGCAGCGGGGCCGGGTCCCTGGATGGTGGCGGCGCAGAGGGCTCCCCCGAGCTGTTCACGGGAGACGGGCCATACCTGGAGGACCCCGAGGACCCACGTGGTGAGGGCGAGGAGGAGCTGGGCGAGGATGAGGAAGACGTGGGCCTAGCCCCCGAGGATGCGCTGCTGGGGGACAAGGAGGATGAGGACTCGCCGCGGGGGCCCCACAGCCCCAATGGGGGCGCGGACAAGGACTTCGCCTGGATCTCCTAGGCCAGGCGGGCAATGGGCTGCGGCCGCCCTCACCTGTGTGTGCCCCGGGCCCCTTCCCCTGCTACCCCCCACCCCTCGTGGACAGCAACCTGGGGCTCTGAGGCGGCCGCCGCCCCGACTAGCGGGACTGGGGACACACAGGGTGGGGACGCAGAGTGGATTTGAGCCTTGAGAGAGCCCGCAGCATCACCCCCAGTTGGGGTGCATGGCGGGCCTCAGGGGAGCCCAGGAGGCCGGCGGCCAGGAAGGGGTCAGCCCTGACCAGGGCCTCCTCTGTGGCCCTGAGACCCGGGTCCAGGGGCTGTTAGGAGAGTTCCACCGACCCCAGCCATCCAGGGCTGAGTCCCCCCGCCCCTTGTCAGCAGCAGAAGGACTGCTGGAGGCTCAAGGGCTGTGCCTGCGGTGGCAGCCTGTGGGATCCAGGTCGGGCGTCCACAAAGGCCTGTGGCCCTCCCACCTCTGGGCTTTGGTGCTCAACACACAGCAGCTGCCGACCTCGGCCAGGGCGCCCAGGTGCTATCTCCCCACGGAGGCAGCCGGGCGGGCGGGCCCAGGTGCTCCCACTGCAGGCGCCTCTTCTTTCTCCGTGTGCACTTCTCTGAGGGCCGGGCCGGCCTGCCCCTCAACCCTGCCGTCCTGCTGCGCCTAGGCCACTCCTGCTGACCCTCCCGGGCGGCTTGCCTTCCTTGCTGCTAACGCCGGAGGGTGTCCCTGACGCCCATGCTGCTCACGCCGCCCGCGGGGGCCACCCCACTCCCCAGGTGCTCTGGGCCCCAGTTCCGTGAGTTGCTAAGGGAACTGAGGCCGGCACGTGAAATGGTTTTGTTCGGCATTATCTTCAGAGTTGTCTTTCCTTTGGCTCCTTCCTGAGCCTCGCCGTCTTGTAAACGAACTCATCCACCCTTCTCGAGGGGCCGGGGTCCCACCTCGTGCCATGAGGACACTGCCCGCTGCCTGTCCCCATCTGGCTGCCGGTCCAGCACCAGCCTGTCTTCCTTAAGGCTCGTGACACATGCATTCCATCCCCTGCACCCACCTTTCTTGGGAACCCCTGTGGGATCCCGAGTCAGGGCCCTGCGGTGCTGAGCTGGGACTGGAGGAGAGCTGGGCTGGGTTTTCTCTCTTCACTTAGCCTGCACCAGATGGCTTCCCTGCGTTCCTGCCGGGTTCCCTCTCCTCTTTCTAGACGGAGAAAGGCCAATTCCACCAAGCCGTCCCAGGTGGCTGCTCTGGGGGTGGCGGGAGGCAGTCAGGGCTGGCTGCAGGCACCTGGATGGTGCTGTCCTTGAATCCCTGCCCAGGGGAGAAGTCACAGCTTCATGTTTTGTTTTGTTTTAAACACCATCAGCCACGTTTTTTCTCAGAAGAGGACTGTGCTCCCATCCTCAACTGTTGGCATCCTTGAGAGAAGGGCCAGACGGCGGGGGCAGGAGCCCAGGGTGAGGGGGCTCTGGGGCCTGCGCCCCCTTCTGCCTTTCATAGTGGGGCCTGTCTGAGCCACTCGGAGGGGCTCCCCATTGTGTACCTTCCCCCCCACTTTCTAACCCCTTTTATAAACAAGACTTACTTTCTTATCAGATGCATTTGGAAACCAGACCTTTGCTACCAAGCATCTCTGGGTTTTGTACAGGGCCACCTCTGCGCCACTCTCAGGGCCTGCCCACTCCCACTCTGGACCACCCTGGCTGACCCCTCTGGGGCCCTCGGTGCCACAGGGGCATTTTCTCCCTCAAAACGATACTTCACTGGGAAACTCACCTCCCTCTCCTGAGCCCCCATGTTAATTCTTGTGTGAGCTGGATTTCAGAGATGGAGGCAAACGTGAAGGGAAAGACATGTAATGAAGATTTTTTTTTTACCGTGGTCTTTTTTTTTTCAAAGCAATGTTTAAACTAATAAATATTTTTTTATGAAGTGGAAAGCGTGTAGATCACATCTCACATTTTTGTACCTTCCCGTGTATGCGTCTGTGTTCGGCGTCTGCATCACCAACGTGGAAGGTGGGCCATCAGGTGGCTCGTTCTTTGGGGTAGGGGAGGGGCGGGGAACCAAGATTTTGTATCAAGCTCTGGATCCTGACGGGGTTGTATGTTTGGACTCTGGGTTTGGGGAACAGTCACAACACTGCCAGGACTGGATAGGGACCTCGATTGAAAGGACACAGCTACTGCTTCCAACTTTGCACATCTTCCTTTTTAGAAAAGAGAACTCTTGAGAAAATGCAAAAACTGGAACTTTTTGCAATATTATATGAAAGATAATCTTATTTTCGCTCATTCTGTGACATGTGCAACTCTTAAGAAAGCCATACTTTATGGTGTTTTTATTTTTAGATCCTATATTGTGTTTTGTACCCGGCCCTTTTTAGAACTCCTTGTAGTGAGGGCGCTGTGTGTGTGCTTTTCTTAAATATTTATTTTTTCAACATGCTTTCAACCTGTCAACAAAAACAAAACAGACAAAAAAAGGCAGTGTTTGAAGATTGTTGATTTTTTTTTCTGGGGATAATCTATATTATATCAACTTTATATTAATGACTATAAACCTGTGTTTGTATTGGAAATGTGTTTCACATTTGTGGGGGGTCTTTTGTAATCGGTCGGTGGAACAACAGGGCTATTGCCTGTTTCCCTGGAGCCATCGATGCCAACAGCACCTCCTCCCTAGTGGTCTTGAGATTTCTTATCTGCTGGGTGCGCTCTGGGACCCCTGTGGGTCTCATCTCTGTGACGGGATTAGTTAGATATTCTTGCAAAGCGATCACTTTCAATAAATCGGGAAATTGCTGCTTGAGCCATCGCCTTGTGTGTGTTACAGACAGCGTCCCCTCCTTCGGCCTTGCCCTGGGTAGAGGTAGCCAGAGGGCACCCCCCCATAGCCCTTTGTGGCCTGGCTACTGGCCTCCTCTCTGCCCATCTGCTACCCCTGCCTGTGGCAGGGTCCCAAATCCATGTCCTTTCCCACCCAGGAGACAGACACAGCTTTTGGAAAAGTCCCGAATCTTTAATTTTACTCTTCGCCTGGTTCAGCCCAGACGCGAGACACCTGAGCAAACACGGCACAGACATGCGCCTGGGCCCTCAGTCAGGTGAAGTGCGGGCAGGGGGCGCCCCCCCAACACCCCTCAAAGTGCATCGAGGACGCCCTGCGTGGCTCCGTCACACTCCTGACAAGTCCAGGGCCAAATGAGGGGCGGCCACCCCAGGCCGAGGGGACAGCGGTGAGGTTTGGCTTTAGTGCAAAAGGCCAAAGGCTGGTTTCTTCAGAGGCACTTCTGAGTGGTGGGGACCTCCCCTCTTAAAAAGAAGACCCTGCAGCTTGGAGAAGCCCTGGGCAGGCTCAGTCCAGGAAACGCTGGCAGGCCTTCTTCCAGCGGCAGGCCGTGCACCACAGGTCCCGGTGGTCCATGCCGTACACTTTCCGGCACTTCTTGGCATCACCCCGGGGCTTCCTGGGGGAACACACAGATACATAGGGTGCTATTGGGGCTGGGCCCCTCCCTACCTGGCGCCCACCCTGGCCCCTCTACACACACGCACCTCGGGTTGGCACTGGGTTTGGCGAGCAGGGCTGGTGCACAGGCCCTGACAGGAGTGGGCTGTGGCTCCAGGCGGACGGGTGCCAGGCAGCCCTGAGAGGAGGTACCGCTATGGCCTCGTGCTCCTTGGGAGCCGCCCGCGGCCTCACCCACCTGGTGGGCATGGTCACTGGGGCACACCTGGGAGGGGGATGTGGTGCTTAGCACCGAGGGTGGGGGCAGGGCAGGCAGGCGCAGAAGGCTGGGCAGGGCCAGGGGCTCCGGTGGCTCCAGGCGGGGAAAGGCGGGTGGCACCGAGGCCGTGGGGGACCCTGGGGTCAGGCCAGACAGCCCATCGGTCAGCAAGTCCAGGCCGCTATCCAGCTCCGTGTAGTAGAAGTCCTCCTCGCCATCACTCTGCTCCAGTTCAGCCTGCCGCCTGCAAGGTCGGGGGAGTAACGGGGGATGGAGGTGGGGTTGAAGCAGAAGCCTGCCTGGCACCCCGCCCCTCCCCACTCCCGGCCCCACCGCACCCCAGGTGCACCAGGCGGATGTGTCTCTGCATCCCCGACGCGGAGCTCAGCACCTTCCCGCAGCGCTTCCACAGGCACTGGAACAGCCCCTGCAGCGAGCTCTGGGCAACAGGGGGCGGTCAGGCTGGGCACCCCCTGCATCCACCCCGCCCCAAGGACCACCCCAGCTCACCTTCCTCTTCCTCAGCGTGGACTCCCCGAACAGGAAGTGGGCTGCCTCAGGGGGCAGCGGTGGGGACGGTGTAGACGGAGAAGACTGGTCACTGGCAGGGTCCCAGCCCCCGCCGCAGCCCGGTGGCTGCACCGGGGCTTCCCTCCAGGGCTCCAGGCACGGTTCTGTGGACACACAGAGGCTCCCGTGTCAGGACTTTGGGGCCCAGGCTATGCTGCAGATGCTGCTGGCTACAAGTTCCTGAATGCACAGCCTCTGTCTGTTCACCTGTCCCTGGGTGAGCTTGGAGGACAAAGAACCTCTTTTTTTTTTTGACAAAGAACCTCTTGAGGCGGCAGTGGCAGGGAGAAGGTGGCCACTACAGCCTGGGGACAAGGCTTTCCAGCACAGAGAAGGAAAAATAGAAGAATCTGGGGTGGGGAGATGCCTGGCCTGTCGGGCGGAGACAGACAGGTCCTGGGGCCGCAGGGAGGGGCAATGGATGTCTTGATGTCCACTTCAGGACTCAGGAGATGCACTTGGAAGATGGTATTCCAGCTGGAGTCTGCCTGCCCCACCGGGCTTGACAGCTCGTAGGATCCTGAGCCCCGCCACCACCCCCAGCCCAAGCCAGGTCTCTCAGCTCACCTGTGCTGAAGGTCACACCTGGGGCCCCCAACAGGAGGGGGCTGGTGGACAGGCTTGTGAGGGCTGTGGCAGCCATGACTTCATCCAGTCGGGCTTTTCCTGGGGGGCTTCTGGAGGAGATGGGGGTAGGGGGTGGGTGGGGCCCAAGAAGTACTCCAGGCCCGCCCCCTGGCCCGACACACGTGCAGGCCTGGGCACGTGTGTGCACCCGGCTCCCTCACTCCAGGAGCCGGCTGGGCAAGATGCCCAGCCCCACCCCCAGCTCGAGTTGCCAAGTCCCAAATACCCAGGAACCACCAGGAACAGGCTCGGGCTGGGGTCTTCCTCCCAAAGTCTTACTTCTCTGCAGCCTGGCCTTTGTTCCACCATGCCTTCTTCAGACCCTGGTGCTGGGCAGGGGTCTGAGGCCACCGACCAGTGCCGCCAGGCCTGGCCAGGCCCAGCCCTCCCCCCAATCACACATTAACCAGGGTTGTGCAACAGCAGCTGTGGGCCTAGAGCCAGGCCTGGAAGGGCGGGAGCAGCCAGCAGTCAGCAGCAGCCAAGGGAGACTGGGCTGTAAGAACAAGCGGGTCCTGGGGCCCCAGGGGGCCAGGCCAGGCCAGGCCCTTGCCTCCACGGCCAGCCCAGGGGGTCAGGCACCAGGGAGGGTTTCTCTGCAGATAGGGATGGGGAGATGGTCATTTGGGCCCAGGATTCCTGGACAGTCAATTTCACACTGGCCTCACTGCCTCTTCTGCACAGACAGGGACATGCACCCCTCCATGATCTGCGTTTTGAATCCCAGGGGTTTGGAGAGGAGGTGAACAAAGCATACTAATACATTGGTCATTTCTACTCAACTCCTCCAGGGCAGGGGAGCCAGGAGGCAGTGACAGAAACCCAGTTCAGGACGCTGACCTGCCCTCCATCGAGGCCTCCCTGAGGGATTGAAGTCGAGAAGGATCCAGCCTGCGCCCATCCACTACCCCTGCACACAGGCGCACGTGTGCACACGCCCCCATTGGCCTGGCAGTCGGGCCCTGTCTCACCTATGCGCTGGCACTGGGATGTGCGCTGACGGTGTCGGGGGCCCCGCCGCCCCCGCCCCTGGGGCTCCGAGGTCCGCGGCTCGCGGCTCCGGCTCCTGGGGCAGCGCGAACTCCACAGAAGGGCCCTGCGGACGAGGCCGGCTCAGCGCGGGGAGCGGCCGGGTCCCCACCCCCACCGCCACCGCCACCGCCACCGCCACCCAGACCCACTGGTGCCCGCCCCCAAACCGGCTGCGGCCGGTGTGGCCCCGCCCCGGCCCCGCCCCCGGCCGTCGCGGCGGGAAGCACTCCGGGCGCCGGCCCAGCCCCGCCGGACCCACGGACACGCGCGGCGACGCGCCGCCCCAGCCCGCCCCGCCCGGGGGCCCAAAGTTCGTGCAGCCCGACGCCATCTTCGCAGCGGGAACTTTGTCGGCGCCCCACGCCCGGTACCTGCGGTGGCGCGGGTACCGACACGGGCGCGGTCGCGGGGTCTCGGCCGGCGGTGCGGAGTGGGGGACGCCCGCAGCCCGGGCCGGACGCCGGAGGGCGCTCGGCCTCCATAGCTGGCCGGCCGGACACCAAGGCTGCAGCGGCTAGGGCAGCCCGAGGTCCCGCCCCCGCCCCGCGCCCATTGGCCCGCTCCGTAGTCACGCCCCGTCCCAGGCAGGCGGCTCCCGCGCTGGCCGCCTCCCGCGCCGGTCTAGGAGGGGTCCCGGCTGGCACCGCCCGCCCGCCGGGCTCCCGCCCCTGAGTCCGTGCGCCCGGGTCCCAGGGCTGGCCGGCTCCTCGAGGGGAGTCTCTGCCCGTCACTTGGGCGGTCCTCCCTGGAACAGGTTATTCTTTAACGTACGACTGACTGCCCATCTCCCCCGTCCCTTATGTAACTTCAGGGACTGTGGCGGAGCCTTCCCTGGCGATCAGGGTCCAGGTCCCACCCTGCGGCGGCCACCGTGCGGCCCAGCTCACCGCTCCGAGGAACCCTTCGGCCTGACGACCGCCCCCCAAGGCTTGCCCCCCTCCCCACTAGGTCTTCTGAGCCCGACCGGAGGCAGTCCCAGCTGACCTGGCCCAAGTACCTGGCACGCCCAGCGGAACCAAACCCCACTCCCAAAGCTCCCAGGGTGAGGAAGAGCAGGCCGAGGTATAGGGATCTGGGGCTTTATTGAGACCCTGCCCTGCAGAGGACATGGCAGTCAGGATCCGGGGGACCCCACAGGCTGGCAGCACTGCTGTCTGGAATTTGTGTTGTCAGTTGCGTGTAGGGGAAACGAGGGTTCGCAGCCCACTCTGGAGGAAGGATCATCTGTAATTGGGTGTTCAGAGCAGGGAGGCAATAAAGACCCCTCTCCAGGCTTAGACAGGAAGCGAAGTGTCTCTGTGCCCTGAACACGTCCTTTCCTGATAGGAACTGGAGCTGGGGGGCTCCAGAGTTGCTCCCATCTCCTGGATGCTCTCATACACATTTTCCAGGAGGCTCTTGTCCATACCCAGGCCCCCAAGAGGGAGGACCTCATAGGCCGGGTCACTCCCTAGAGCCAAAATTGCTCCCCCACCTTTGGGGTCTGGCTGGTCTGTGGCAGGTCCTAGGTCCCTCCTTTTAGGTTTGTTGACCCTGGAATACAGGATGTCCACCTGGAGAAAGGAAGCCAGCCCAGGGAGGGTCAGTGCCATCCACTCAGTGAAGGACCTGCCCAGTCACACCCACCCTATCTCACATCCTTTGGGTTACCTGAGTGGGTGGGGTTGCCTCGACCTTCCCCTGCCCCAGGCCTTGGGGGCCTCGATCTGTTCCCCTGAGCTTCTGGACACAAGCATACTCAGCTACCACAGGTCTGGCCTCAGGCCCAGGCCTGGCATAGCTGCTGGTCAGCCGTGCCCCTGCCCACACCCCAGAGCTAACTGCCAGCCTGGCCCTGGGGATTGTTGCCAGCCCCACATTGGAATAGGTGGACTCCAGGCCAGTGGAGGGCGCAGCCAGGGGCAGCTCCTGGTGTGAGAAGGGTGCTGGGGGCCTGGTCATGCCTCTGGATGCCTCCAGGTACTGTGGACGTAGGAGATCCATGCTGGCAGGCCGTGGGGCTGTGGGGGGAGGGCAGAGGTTACTGGGGGATCTGGGGATGCCTGCCCACCTCCAGGACCCGGCCCTCCCACCAGCTCACCTCTGCTACAGGGCTGGCTGCAGTGCAGTTCATGCAGCCTGGTGTCAGACTTGCTGAGGGAGCAGTGGTAGGGTCGTCTTAGCAGTGACTGGGGGCAAGGAAGGCTGGTCGGCCTCCAGATGGCCCCACCCTGGCCCCAGGGAACCCTGGCCCCAGGAAAAGTCTGGCCCCAGGGACACTCTGGCACTCACCACTTCTGCTGGCATCGCACTGCCCTGCAACCTGGACAGCTGTCTCCGTGCCTGCTTCCTGGGTGCCAGAGGGTCATCAGCCCAGGGAGGCAGAGACACGGGTCAGAGATGTCAACCTCCAGTCCAAGGCCCATCAGGAAGTATGTGTATAGAGCCATGCTGGGCCTGCCTGAGTCCCGCCCCCTCTGGCTGGAGAGCTGAGCCAGGCCCCACCCAGGCCAGGCAGGGATGGACATACCTGTTGCAGGCTGTGCACAATACCCACAGCCAGAGCAGTAGCATGAGGCACCCTAGGACCCAGAGAGCAGGAGGGACCGAGGACCCCTGTTGCCTCATCCTATGAAGATGTGGACGAGCCTGCAAGCTGAAGACTGGTGCTGGAGGCTGAGGGACTGGGAACCCACCTGATAGCCCCACTTCTGTGTCTCATGCTGCCAGGAGGTCCCCTCCCCGCCGTGCGCTGTGACTCAGCACACAGGAAACCCCAATCTCGGTAGCCCCTCCCTCCTACGGAGGCCGAGGGGACACAGCCTTGGTGCCCACCTTCCCACCTCTGCCTGGGGGATGCTGGTGTGAGGTGTGTTCTGACTGGCCCCCACAAGGACCTGAGTTGGCAAGGATGACCCAAGTGATGGCTGAGCATGGGGCCAGTGAGAAGGGGCAGGGCAGCTGGGACCTGACCAAGGACCTCCTGTGGTTAGAGGTGGAACCTGAGACCCAGGTCACACCCCAGGAAGGCAAGCCACAGGCCACAGACTCACCTACAGCCATGTCCTGCCCAGGAATGGCTCCTGTCCAGGTGGTGCCCCTTGGCCATCCACTAAAGACTGGCCCCCTCAGGGACTGGGAAGCTGGGGGGTCAAGCAGGCTGGAGGGGCTGCTCTGAACATGGACTCCCCCTCTCCCCCTGGCTCACCACCCTTCCCCTCCCACTGCCCCTGCCATTGGATGTCCACTTCCTGGAGTCTTGGCAGAGCTGCTTGGGGGCAGGGGGGAGCAGGTGTCCGGTCACACAGAGATATGGGGTGGGGAGTCTCTGGAGGTGGGGGCCAGTCTGCCCAGGCCCAGCAAGTGGGCTTTCCTCACCAGAGGGCCCAGTCCTCCCAGACTCCAGCCCTCAGCTGTCCTAGGAAGGCACTAAGGAGTTTGGGGCCCTGGCCAGGCTGGAGGCGAATGGGCACTCACCGAGGCCAGGACGTGGTGTGGCTCCTCCGCCGTCTGGAGGCCAGAGTGGCACTCACCGAGACCGGGGTGTAGTGCAGCTCCACTGTCTGTGGTGGCGGGCAGCTTGGGCACCTTGAGGCACAGTGCCTTTGTTGCCTGCAGCCCAGCTCCCCACTTCACTTCCTGTGCGCCTCACCTCATCTCCCCGCCACGGCAGCCACCCCCACCTGCTGTGGCCCAGATGGCACTTGGTGGGGCGAGTCGGTACTGCCTCCACCCATGACGTGGTGGGTGCGCGGGTGAGGAGACTTGCACGACACCCCCAGCTTGCTGGGTCCTCCTGCCCTGTTACCAGCGCTGCCCCGGGCACAGCATGGCCAAGGGCTCCTCCCACCACTGCAGCACCAGCTCCACCCACTTGTGGGTGTCAGGCACTGTGGGGGCGCATCCTAGGCTGTGACCCACATCTGGGAGAGCAGCAAGGAGGCCCATCCTCCTGGTCCTCTGAGCTTGGGCAGGGGCAGCAGGCTCACTCAGGACAGCCCAGCCCTGTGACCGAGCACAAAGACCCCTACTCCCCAAGGACCCCACAGCCAGTTGAGCCTCCGATGAAATCAGACACTGCGACAAAGTCACTTTAATGTCTTTGCTCACGAGACGCCCTAGGACACCAGCAGGTGGACTCAGTGGGCAGGGAAGCATCAGGAAGGGGCCCCTGCAGCCCATCTTTGCTCAGCAGTGTCCACATGCCGGAGGCCAGCAAGAAGGCCCTCTGTGGAGTGTGGCCACAGAGCAGGCTGGCCCTTCTGGTGGCATCCCCACTGTCTGCCCGAGGGCAGCAGGAGTCAAGGCCCCTCAGTTCCATCCGCGACACGTGCAGGGGTCTAGAACTCAGTCATCTTCTTGTGGGTGTCGGCCTTCCTCTGTTCCCGCTGCAGGCCCGCCTCCTGGGCCCGGAGCTGCCCCAGCTGCCGCTGGGCTCCTGCCAGCTTCTCCTGCAGCTGGGCCGTTGTCACACTGTGCCTAGGGAGGGACCCACATTCAGCACTGCTGTCTCCCTCCAGCCCCTCCTCAGACCCGGACCGCTGCCTCTGAACTCTCCCAGGGGAACCTGGGCAGGGGTGAGGCGCCCGGGGCAGGGCCACACATACCGGCCAGCATTGCGGGCAAGGGCCTCCTGGATGCCCCGGATGGCTCGCTGGATCTGCTCAATCTTCTCCTCAGTCTGGAGGAGCCGCAGGCTCAGGTCCCGTTTGGTACTCCTGCTGGCGTGGTACACCTCCTTGCCGCTCCTTCTGGGGGGCGCTGCCCCCACCTCCGGGGCCCCTGGAGTCCCGCCTTTCAGCTTCTCATTCAGGAAGTCGAACACACTGCGAGGAGGTGGGCGGCCCCCAGCTCCACCCACTCTGCCCCGGCACTTTGGGGGCTTGCTGACGCCAGCCTGGCCACCCTGGGTTCTCTTCTGCAGGATCTCTGCACACTGGTCCAGCGACTTCCCGCGCGGCAGCACCACAGCATGGACGGGCTCCACCCGGCCCTCTGCACGCCGGCCCAGACCTAGGGGAACACCAGGCTGGCATTGCCACTGGACCCCTGGGCCATGATGGGGAGTCCCTCCTGTCCCCATGCAGCACACGTGCACTCACCCTTGCCAAACTCGTAGCCCATCTTGGCGAGGAGCCTGGAGCCAATGCCCCGCGTGTGCACCTCCCAGCCAGCAAAAGCGGAGCTGCAGGTCCCGGGGTTGGCAGCACCAGGTTCCACCACTGCAGGCATCAGAGGGCAGTGGCTTAACTCAGATGGATCCAGGGCATCCTGGGCTCCAGCCAAAGCTAACCCAAGAGCTCAACTCTGCACAGCTCTGCATGGCTGCCCCCCGGCATCCCCAGCTCCCTGCCCAGGATGTGTGGCACGAGCAGAAGGCAGAGCCCGGCTGTCTCCATGACCTGGTCACAGGATGGCCCCCTTCCACGCTCTCTGTTTCCTTGTGGAGAGCAGTCCTCCCTGCCATCAGTATGGACAATGCGGCTAACAGACCCCATGAGGGCACCCCCACCCCTGGGGGGAGGCCAGACACTGACAGCTGATCCTTCATCCAGCCAACAGGTCCCAGCACCTTGCAGGAAGCTGTCCCTTCCTGTGCATCCCATTCCCTCCTGTGGCTCGCGTGGGACTATGGTTTCTGCGTTTGTGGGTCTCTGGACTTGCCCCAGATCCATCACACACCCTCCTCTCCCCGGGAGTGCGTCCTTGTACTGACCACAGTGTGGGCCCTGCCAGCCGGGAGCCTCTTGGGGGTGGCAGCAGCCATACCTCGAGCATAGCTGGGGTCGTCTGCATCGCTGCCGTCCGAGTCAGAGGACCCTGCAGGCTCTGTGCGCAGTGGGGGCAGGATGCTGTCCCCCTCCACCACGGCCTCTTTCAACAGCAGAGAGTCAAACTTGACCGTGTAGTAGCCGCTGTCTACATCTGGAGGGGCACAGAGGCAGCAGGGCAGCGCATGGAAGTAGCCGCTCTGGAAGGTGGGAGCAGGGTGGGGCCAAGACCAAGGGGGTCTTGCTCTTCTCATGTGTGGGGTGGGACCCCAACACCCAACCAGAGGAGTAGTCATGCAGGACTAACACATTGAGAGGGCTTCCTGGGAAGGGCCTGTCAGGGAGGCCCCGGGGCAGCCTCACCAGTGATCTGTGCTGGGTACCACAGACCATCCTGCCGCTTGGCCAGACATGCAGAGCCGGCCTGCAGGGAGCTCAGGTCCGGGTCCTGGAAGGGGCGCAGCTCGTCCACTGAGACTACCTGCCCATGCGAGAACCTGCAGAGAGGGCCGCATAGCTCAGGTACCGCCATCAGGTTCCCACAAGCCCGGAGACTCCAGTCTACCTGCCCGGACACCACCCGGTGGGGAGAGAGATGCAGAGGGACACACGCGTCCACACAGACATCCACAGACACGCACGTGACACACAATCATGCGCATCCGCACTGAACACAACATATACAGACACATGCAACACCCACACACATGTACACAGGCCCACACATATACACTGAACACAACATGTATACACATGCAACACTCACACACATACGTACACGCACCCACACATATACACTCAACACGTATACACACACATCACACCCACACACACGTACACATGCCTACACACATATACACTGAACACATGTATACACATGAAACACACCCACACATGTACACACACCCAGATGTATACACTGAACACATGTATAAATATGCATGCACACCCCTACCTATACATGCATACATATACACACATGCGCACACATGCATGCACTCATGCACACATGTGTGTACACACATGCATGGACACAAAGAGGCACATACATTCACATGTGCACCATACACAGGCACACACACACTTACTACACATAAGCACACAAACAGGTGTATGCACATGTGTGTACACACGCACATGTATGGACACCCATACTGTGCTTGTGCTCTCACTTTCAGATGGACCTGGGTGCCCTGAGGACTAAATGCTTCTGGTTACTCTCCAGCCTCCTGGGCTGGAGTCACGCACACACAGGCACACGTGGCTGGGAGACACACTTGTGACAACAGTTCCCCGGCACCTCTCCACTGGACACAACAGGTCATTAAGACAGGGGTTCTGCTTGCTTCACTTGCAGGACTGAGTCCTCCCCAACCAACTAGGAGGACCTGGTTGTAATGGTGCTGCCTTGTCTTCTAGGTGTCACTGAAACAGTGAAACCAAAACAAAAACCAGGAGAGAGGAGGTGGGACAGGAAGTATGGGAACAGAGGGCTGCAACTTTGAACTTGGCCAAATAAAGACATGAAGGCACCAGACACACATCTCCTGCAGTGCCCCATTTCAGGGAAGAAGCGTTCTAACCCACAAGAGCAAGCAAAGACAGGCCCTGGCTCCGACACACAGCCAGGCTCGTGTGGGGAGACCATGGGAAGAAAGGAGAGGAGAGAATGCATTTCAGTCACCTTCTTGGGTGGGGTTCTGAGCAGTTCCTTCTCACCCCTGCCCATCCTCAGGCACCCAGGGTACTGCCAGTGACCAGTGGCACCAGCAGATGCAATACCAGTCCACATGTCTTTTGGCGGGCACGGTGGTTAAAGAGTCCTGTTCAACCGAGGAATGAGACCGTCCAGACCCAAGGGGAGTTTGGCCAAACTCCTCCTCAACACACCCAGACACCGCCAATAAACCTCCCTGCAAGAATCTTCAGTACTCTTAGAAGCTCTAAATTTTGGTGTCCTCCTTAAGCCAGCAAATGCTTCTATGAAATGACCCTAAAAAAGTATGGTGGACTTTGCATATGCTGGACATATGCAAAGATTGAGCTAGAAGGGTATGAACCAAACATGGAAGATTCAGAAATAATCAAAGTTCCCAACCATGGGAGTAGTTAATGGCATGTGCATGAAATCAGTGTCAACTAAGAGCACAGGCAGGCTGACCATGGAATGAAGGGCACCCAGGAAAAGCCTCTCACATGACAAAATCCACGCAGGACAGAGGAGGAAAAGACAGACTACAGATTTCATAAGGAAAAAATTTAAAATGTTTCCCAAACTCAAACCCCTAGCAACACCCCCACTTAATCATCTACTTCACAACATTTATGAATAGTGCTTATGATTTATGAATAATTATAATTATTTGTGAATAATTATAATTATTTATGAATAACACCCTCTAGAATAAGTAAACACATGAATGAGAAAACAAGCATTTAGAATAAGTACACATCATAACTGTGGTTTATCCCAGGAATGCAAGGGTGGCTCAACAGGTGAAAGCCATTCAATGAAAACACAGCACATCAACAGAACACCAGCATATCAACTGATATAGAAAAGACACCTGGAAAAAACCCAACGACTTCAACCTGATAAACAGCATCTACGGAAAACCCACAGTTCACATCACACTCAAGAAGGGGAGGAGGGGTACTTTCCCCTAAGATCAGGAACCAGACAGGAAGTGCTCCCGCCACTTGCATTCAGTACAGTACTGGAAGTTCTAGGTGGGGCAGTTGAACAAGAAAAAGGAATAAAAGCCAGCCGAATTGGAAGAGAATAGGCAAAAGTATCTCTGTTCGTCAATGACGTAATTGTACATATGTGCTGTGCTCAGTCGTATCTGATTCTTTGCGCCCCCAAGGACTGTAGCCTGCCATGCTCCTCTGTCTATGGCATTTCCCAGGAAAGAATACTGGAGTGGGTTACCATTTCCTCCTCAAGGGGATCTTCCCAATGCAGAGATCGAGCTCGCATCTCCTATGGCTCCTGCATTGGCAGGTAGATTCTATACCACTGAGCCACCTGGGAAGCCCCAGGAAATTGGATACCCACATGCAAATGAATAAAGTTGGATCCTCAGATCATACCATTAAAGCATGTAATTTACAAGGGAAAAAAAAACTTTAACAATATTTTATGTCAAAATCGAGTAAGTTATATGAAATATTCAAGGAAAGCAACGTGACCCAAGAATCATATATACACGTTCATCAAAACTGCTGAACTGTGTCTTCATGAAAGACACAACCAGAGCCTAACAGACATGCTAGGTCTCTACAGATGTTATTCCTGTGAGCCCTTCCTAAAGAACCTACCAGAAAATGAGTCTCAGACAACCAACAGGACTAAGACCCTGACAGACAGGTAGATGGGAGCAGGAGATGTTAAGTTCCTTCCAGAACTAAGGCTGAGTGTGAAGGGAGACAATGGGTTGCGACAGCCATGAGAGCCAACTGTGCAGGTCTAGTGCAGTCAGATGGCAGGGAGAATGGGAGGTACACATCAAAACGCTTTAAACAGTTTTCGGTCGTCATAACTAAAGAATGAATGCTGTTCTGAGAGCGTCCTGTGTATGCAGAATGGGATAAAACAAGTTAATTACAGGACGTTGGTCCTTGAGGGCCAGAGTCTTGAGGGAGAGAAAGATATACAGATGCAATCCAGAAAAGATTAAGAAATCAGTATGAACTCACTAAGCACTCGTCCTTGAACATACAGATGCACTAACACAGACATTAGTGTGTGTCCAGCTGCACTTCCTAGCTCTGTCTGCTGAAGAGACCTAGAACTGAGCCCCCTGCAGCGAAGTGCAACCCAAGGCCTCTACTGTAAATCTTGAAATAGCATCTGCCACTAAAAGAAACCAGGGCTTCTCAGAGACTTGGCTGCTTTCAGGTCTGTGGCAGGAAGAGCACAGGCGAGGGTGGGGAATCCTGATTTCTGGGACTGTGTCAAGAGGGCGAGGAGCCAAGGTGAAAAGGCTCCACCTGGCAAGGGTGGGACAACTTCTCTGATAAAATATCTAAAATATAAGTACATTTTAGAAGTTTCACGTTGAAGCATAAGACAGGTCACTGGTGTGTGTGGGGGGGGGGGGGGGGCGGCGGCTCCATTATTTTCAACATAAGCCCTTCTTACTTCTGACATACCTGGGGAAAAGCCAAGAAGACCCCTAAACAAGGATACTGCTAGAAGAACCCCCTGCCCCTATGAAGTTCTCTTCTCAGCGTTTTGCTCCGCCCCCCCCCCCCCCCCCCCATTGCCAGGGGCCTAGGGAACTCAGGCCTTACCTGCAGTTTTCCTGGAAGCGGCACTTCCCCTCCAGGAAGAACGGGCAGGGCTTCAGGGACTTGTGAGTGGGGTAGAGATAGAGCACGCGCACGCCCGGGGAGCCGTCGTCCGCCTCCTCGGTGCCCACGATCATGGCGTTGTGATACTCCAGGGTGCCCCAGGCACTGTAGTAGGGGGCGTTCACCTTTCTCCCACTCAGTGCTTCCCCGCCCTCCTCGTCCTCCCCCTCGTCCTCCTCCTGCCCAGGCTCCGTGGGTCCTGGCCCAGTCTCTCTCGAAGGAACAGTCTCCAGTTCTGCGCCGGGGGCTACTGGCACCTCCACCGTCTCCGCGATGGCATTCTGGAAAGCCAAAGGCTCAGCATCCTCCTGCTCTCCATCCAGCGCCGCCAGCAGCTTGCTCTTCCTGACCGACACCAGGCTGGCCTCAGTGAGCTCGATCAGCTCCTTCAGGTCCCCCTGCAGTTGGCGCAGGTCGGCCAGCTCCGAGGGATCCAGGCCAGCGCCCAGGGCCAGCTCCACCTGCTGCAGCTGCGCGTCGTAGGTCCGGAGGGCGGTCTGCAGGCTCTCCTCGTCCATCCTGCCAGGAGGGGCCGATTTCCCGGGCCTGCGGGGCTGGGTCCGTGGGTCCTCAGAGGGGAGTCGTGGGAGCCAGAGCTGCGGAGAAAAGAAGCCAGATAAGTCTGGGACCGACGGCCGCTGCAACGCCGGCACTGAGCGCTGGCCGACCGCAACCCTCGGTGGACAGCCTGAACAACCGTGAACAGCAGTCTCTTCGTTTAGACCAGGGGCGATTTCAAGCTCCGAGAGGAGGAGCCAAAGCTGGCCTTTGGGCGCTGGCCCCACGGCCTCGATTCCCTTCCAGGGAGCTGCCGTCAAGCTCTTCCGGGGTCTATGCGTCCAAGTCTAGTGTCCCCGGCAGGGCCCACCCCTGCGGCCTCGAGCCGCCCGTCTCCGCTCGGCCAGCAGCCTCGGGCCAAGGCCCCGTCGCCCAGACCCCCTCGCCCCGGCCAGGCCCTCCTCCGCGTGGTCTCCCGGCCGCCGCCACAGACGGCCAGCCGGCCTCACCGGCCAAAGCCGCCCGGGGTCCAGCTTCCGCCCTTGCAGCCCACAGGCGCTTCCGCCCGAGCGCCGCCGCCGGCGGAAGTACCTGGCGCGGGGGCTGCCGGGACGGCTCCGCTCCTCCCCAGCCGACCTGCGAGCATCCCGTCGGGCACCGCGCGGGGTTAGCGCGGGGTCGGTGGGTTAGGCGCGAGGCGGTTTCCCGGCTCGGCGGCTCGGCCGGGCGGTCGCAGGTATATCGAGGCGGGTGGGCGGAGCTGGGCTCAGGCTCGGCGACCGATCCGCAGTCTGTCCGCGCCGCCCGCCCGCCTCACGGCTGCTCGGGGCAATCACCAGCCCTGAGACGCCCCGCCTCTGAGAGGCGCTCGTGGAGGGCCGGGAGCGAAGCGGGCGTTGGTTAGCGAGACCCGAGGGAAGCAAAGCCTGAAGGAAGCCCGGGCGGGGGAGCGGCGAGAAGCGAGGCGGGACGGGCTGCCCTCTGCCTGAGAGCAGAGAGCCCTGGCCTGGCCGGAGTGGGAGTGTGGGCACCAGGAGCGCCGGGGCGATTCTGTAGCAGTTGCGGAGGCGAAGGCGAGCGGAGAGGAGGGGAGGGGAGGCGGAGTCAGGAAGGCCCTGGGCTCCAGCTGTGAGCGGCCGTGCGGGCAGCGGGACACTCTGTCCGCGGTGCGGGCCGGCTCGTTCGTGACCGATCTCGGGTGCCCAGGGCAGGATGTACACGCTGCTGTCGGGCCTATACAAGTACATGTTCCAGAAGGACGAGTACTGCGTCCTGATCCTGGGTCTGGACAACGCCGGGAAGACGGTGAGTGCGGCTCCGTGTCAGCGCCACCCCCCACTCCCACAGTCCTTTCGGTGTTTTTTTTAGCTGCGTGTTCTCCACCTAGACAGGCTCTGAACCCAGCTTAAAGTCATAGGGTAGTTACCACCAGCCGCTTTAAGAGGCAAACGTTGTTCTCTTTTGCCTTATTATAAGGGAATAAGCCCCAGGAGGAGTGTTTGAAAACTATTGCAATTCTTGTCTTATGCCTTTTTCTTTCTGCCCTTAGACCTTCTTGGAGCAGTCAAAGACCCGATTCAACAAGAACTACAAGGGGATGAGTCTGTCCAAAATCACTACCACCGTCGGCCTAAACAGTAAGGGTCCTTTGGGGGTGTGGGTTGGGGGCAGAACCCTGAGGATGCTGCAGTGTGCAAAGGCCATGGGTGAGGCCTCTGCTCCGGCTACCGTTGATTCCAGCATCGTGGAGCGCAGGTTCAGCCTGCTTCTCCCAGGAGAGCTGGGAGCTGGTGGGTAAGGGACCAAAACCGCAGCCTCACCTGTCTCTTCTCCGCAGTCGGCACTGTGGACGTGGGAAAGGCCCGCCTGATGTTCTGGGACTTGGGGGGGCAGGAGGAGCTGCAGTCTCTGTGGGACAAGGTAAGATGGGTGGGTGCCACGTCAGCTCCCTGGCACCATCTCTATCCGGGTGGTACCTTGTTCTCTTCCTTCCTTTTCTCAGAAGGCCTAGGATTCCTCTTCTTTCCTTACTCTTGGCAGCTTCTGTGACCCACTTGGTTCCTGAGCTCACCCCTATCTCAGTTCCCCAGTCACACCCCCAAGAGCAGGGACACACTGGTTCCTTTAGGTTTAGAGATTTTGTTGCTTATCAGCACAAGATGAGACAAAGGATGCCTGAGGAGCAGGGAAGACACAATGCCTGTTTGGCTCTCAGCTTCAGCCCCGGGGCCCAAGTCTCCCCCCATGGGGTCCCACCTACTGAGGGGAGGATGTCCTCCAAGGCTCACGTCTCTTCTTTCGACCTGGGTTTGAAGCATTTTTGAGACCTCAGAATCAGAATCAGTCTTTCACTCAGCCTCTGTCAGGCACAGGGTCCAGCAGAGAGCATTGTGGAACGAGCCTCTTCCCCTCCCCCACGCAGTGGACTGCCAGGGGCACAGACAGGCTCACCCAGCTCTAGGGGCACTGACTACCCCGGCACTTGCTGATGTCTAATGCCCTAGACTTGGTTTCTGGCTTGACCCCAGCAGGAGGTCCTTGGTCATTTTCCCCTCCTTCTCCCCAAAGTGTCCCCCCTGTCCTGACCTCCAGCCAAGAGGACCCTTTCCATTCCATGGCCAGAAGATCATTGACAGGCCCTCTGTGACCATTTAAGTTGGACCAAGCCAGGGGCTGTTTGATCAAATCTCAGATCCACATGGGGACCTGACATTCTTTACAGGCCAGGGCCTCGGAGTAGCAGGGGCCAGGTGTGTCAGAGTTTAGCAGCTGGCAAGTGTTTTGGGGGATGAAGGCCTAGCCAGGGGCAGGGTCATCTTGGGCGCTGCCCCATGTCAGGCCAAGCTGGCTGGGACCCCGTCCCCTTGGCAGGTCACCATGGTGGACAGCTACGACATGCTCAGGTAGCTCTGGTGGGTCAGAGTGGGTCCTCCAGGAGCTAACAAGGGGCCCTGTGCTGGGCGCATTGCCTACCATGGCAGCCAGGACATGGGCAGTGAAGGTTCTCTGCTGCCCTTGCTCCTCTGGCTGGGGACTGGCTCTTCCTGAGGGGAAGCCAGCTTCGTGGTTGGTGGTGGCCCCCAGCTTCCACTTCTGCTCATGCCATGGTCTTGCCACTGCCTCCTCACGAGGACTAAGCCTGCCATCTCGGCAGGATGGGCCCTCGGTTTCTCACATGCTCCCCGACTCTGAGATGGAGTGGGTGCCCTGCCTCCTGCTGATGGCATCAAGTGCCCCTGCCAGGCCAGGGCTTTGCTGGCCTCTGGTGACTGGGCTGCACAGGGGTGACCATGTCCCCAACCATGTGAGTCACCAGGAGGGGTGTAAAGTGGGCCTTCTGCTCTCCCCTTGTTCTGAGACCATGTCCTGGGGCCTGTCCCTGCCCCTTTGCAGTCCGACACCATCTGGAGGACCTTCACTCCCACCTCCACTGCCTCACCTCCACCCAGCACCTCTGCTCGTGGCACGAGCTAGTACCTATAGGTCTCTGCACGTGCCAGCTTCAGGCCATGTCTGTGGACCCAGTGGACCCTCTGGCACCCTGCCACAGGGAGGACTTGTGGCCTCTGTCTCTCCAGGCTGCACCTGAGAGCCTCAGGACCTGGGCCTGGTGGGCACCGTGGGTTCACAGCTGCCATGGCTTCCTGGTCACCCCCCGCTGGTGGACCCAGCCCCCATCTGCTAGGGCCAAATCACACACTAGTTGAAGTTCTCCGCCACCACAGGGATCTGGGGCCCACAGTAGTGATTCCCTCATTGACTCGCTGCAAACCCCACAGTGCCCCTGTCTGCCTAGGAGGCCTGCACTGTTAGGCTGCAGCTCCTGGGTCCCGTATCAGCCAAGCAGGCCAGCCAGAGAGACCCCAGGTTTGGGGTTCATGGTTGGGCTGTGGACCAGGAGGCCACCCATGTTGGGGGATGTGCGGGTGTTCCCAGTTCCTGAGCTCCTGCTCAGGAGCCGGGGTGGAGACAAGGGGCAAGGATGCAGTCACCTGCTCCTGCAATGTGGGCATTTCTGTCCTCTGAACATCAAGACAGGTGGATGCACCAGGCCTTGCTTCATGTGTCTGTTTTCCCAGGCATGCTGCTGTTGACTCCCCATAGCTCTCCCTGTACCCTGGGCTCTGGTGCTTGTGTGTATGTGTCGGTGGGGGTGGGGTGGGGGGGGGTGGGTCTCTTGTGTGGTTCTGCTGCAGGAACCCAGGACCGGCTGGCCTGCTGGTGCCAGCCTACAGAGCTCCGAACTCCCTGGCATGGCTCTGTCATTGGCCCTGTTGTCCCATGCGGGGGTCAGAGCTGCCTTGAACATGTTGGAGGCCTTCTGTGGCCCCCTATTGGTATACCTACTGCCTTGCTGCCTGCACTGGGTCCCCTTACCCAGGTGTACAGAGACCCAGAGCCCCATCCTTCCTCCTCTGGCCACTCTCAGGCCAGGGGGTGTGGGTGGGTCTCAGCAGTGGATCCTGAAGTGGGGTTCAGAGCACAGCACCTGGGAAGTGGGTGAGGAAGGTGGCCACCCTGTCCCAGCAGGTCTGGGGTGTATCTGCACTCTGCCCCACCTCCAGGAAGCACCTTAAAAGGGTCTCCCAGCTGGGGGCTGCCCAGAGATGGCTGGGTGCCCGAGGCTCAGCACCTGGTTTTGCTCCTGCCCAGTACTATGCAGAGTGTCATGGTGTCATCTATGTCATCGACTCCACGGACGAGGAGCGGCTGTCTGAGTCCAAACAGGCGTTTGGTGGGTACAGCCAGCCAGGCTGGGGATGCGGGGAGTGGGAGGGTTCCGTCTGCACAGCCCCCATTCCAGAGCTGGGCTGGGGGGAGGTTGGGCCACTCCAGGACAGGAGGGTGCCAGCCAAGTGCGTCCATGTGGGGTCAGCAGGGATGTGGGGACCTGTGTGGAGGCGGATGAAGGGCGCTCACTGCTGCCTCTCTGCCCGCCCCAGAGAAGATGGTCATAAGCGAGGCGCTGGACGGTGTCCCTATCCTGGTGCTGGCCAATAAGCAGGATGTTGAGGTGAGCCCCCGTGCCAAATGGGCTCCTGCTCCCGCCACATGGGGTATCTGTCCCAGGGGAGGGCTGCTGCCTTCCTCAGCCTGAGTGTGGCTGCCACAGGTGAACAGAGCACCCCCACCCCCTGGGTTTTTCCTGCTGTGCTGGCACCTCTGCACCAGAGGCAGCAGTGCCCCATTCCTCTGCAGCCAGGGAACTCCTGCTGGGCAGACCCAGGTGAAGGTCTGGAAAGAAGGGCAGAAGCACCTCAGGGTGGGAGTCAGTGCTGACACCAACCTGTCTGCCGCCCTTGAGCACAGCAGCTGTACTGGCCCCACTCCATGAACCACTGGTGAGAGGTGGCATCTTGGCAGCCATCCACGTGGAGGAGGCCCTGAACAGGCAGGTGGTGTGTTCCTGTAGCATCTGGGTCGTGCTGCCAGGGTGTGTCTCCCTGGGGCTGCTCACCAGGCAGGTATCCTAGACAGTAGCCAGGAGGCACCTCCTGAAAGGTGCCATGCAGCTTCCCACCTGCCCTCTACCCCCACAGCTCTGGGAACTGCTCCAGGGGTAGAGGGTGAATAGGGTGGCAGGGCTGCCCCTCATGGCCTCACCTCCCCCAGACTTGCCTCTCCATCCCTGACATCAAGACTGCGTTCAGCGACTGTGCCTCCAAGATCGGCAGGCGGGATTGCCTGACCCAGGCCTGCTCGGCCCTCACTGGGTGAGTGGGGTTCACCCTGGGCATCGGGGGCCACGGCCAGCCCTGCCTCATGTCCATTGTCTCCACAGCAAGGGGGTGCGCGAGGGCATTGAGTGGATGGTGAAATGCGTCGTGCGGAATGTGCACCGGCCGCCGCGGCAACGGGACATCACGTAGGCACACCTGCCTGTGCGCCCACCGCTTGTCCTGAAGAGCTCCTGCCCGCTCCACACCACCAATCCTGGGGGCTGGGTCGGCTTTGCCTTTTGGTTCTCCCATTTGCTTTGTTTCTTCTCTAAGACAAATTTTTCTGTGTCCGGAAAAGTGTAGGCATCCGGAAGCTTCTGCGAGGGGTGCTGGGGCCTTAGGGACGCCAGCCGGCCACCAGCAGAACTTATGACCATAGCAGGCCTAGACCTGCCCAAGGCCCAGGTTGAGGCCCCCACGGGCTACCTCTCCTTTTGGAGCTGCTGCCCCAGCAGGCCTGCCGGTTTGGCCCTGCATGGGACCTTGGTGGGGAGCTGCTTGGAAATAGGTTTTTTCAGAGCTGTGGGGCCTTCCATAGTCCTCAAGGCTGCTCTGTGCCTCATGCCTATGGAGGCAGCTATGACTGTCCTTGGCCTCTGCCCTCTGATCTTGGAGTCAGGTGGAGGGGTGGGGGTTGCTGTCATCTGAGGGAGACCTGGGCTTGTTGCAGTCTCTGTCCTGATGCAGCTTCAGGAGGAGGCAGGGAGACCTGCCTGGGAGGCTGTGAGCCCTACCCACTGGCCCAGCCACCTTGTTTTGATCTCCAGTGAAAATGGGAAAGCTAGGTGGTTGTGCTGGTAGTGGGCATCTGCTCCCCCCCCCCCCAGCCTGCCTGCCACGCACCCAGAATAACCTAGATACAAACTTGGGGTGTGAGGAAGGCCAGCAGGGTCCCAAGGAGCCCAGGCTAGTAGTCTGCTGGGCCTGTGCTCCCAGCTGGGTGGTGAGGGCTGGGGTTGCTCTCAGGTCTGGGCCTTTTCCAGTCCTGTGTCTGGGAGCAGAGGCCCTCCAGGCAAGGCTGGTCCTCAGGACCCTCCCACATGGCCCTTTTTGGAAGTTGGTGACACCCTGTGAGCCTAGCCGTGGGCAAAATAAAGAGTTGGAGTGGCTCCCATCCATCATTCTTCAGAGGCCCGGTGGCTTTATCTGCAGGTCAGGTTCCCCAGGCAGCTGGGGAGGAGATGCTGGGAAAAGGATGAGTCAGGGCTGGGGGTGGGCACCAGCTGCAGGTGAGGTGACTCATTGAGGGGATGCTTTGACCTTGCCTCTCCCTGGGGCCCTTCCTGGAGGTCAGGCAGGAGCCTCCAGGGCTGGTGGGGGCTGCCGGGACTGGGAGTCCTAGGTTGATGAGTCAAGGCCTCATCTGAACCTGCCCCAGAAGGGAAAAGCGTCGTTTCCCAGAAAGCGAGTGGGACACACTGTCCTACCCAGAGGTCTTGGCTAGTCCCTTGCTGGGAAATCCCTTGCCTCTTTGAGGAGGGTGGAGCCTCAAAGAGGGGCAGCTTGAAGGACACTTCCTGGCACCTCAGGGGACACAGACTGGCGCTGACTCCTCTGACTTGGCCTTTTCCACAGTGGAGCCCTTTAACTCTGACTCGCCCTCCCTCCCTCCACACCTCCTTAATCACTCAGCGAAACTTTGAGAGAGGGGTGTCACCCGCTGGCCTCTCCCGCGACCCTACCACCTGAGAGGGTCAGTCCCAGTGGGAGGGAAGGCAGTGGACAGGGCACTGCTGCTAGGCAGTGCGCCCAGGTGTGTCCCTCCCCGGGGTGCAGAGCGCTCACTGGCAGGCTGGACACTCGTTTACCAATCGGTTTTATGAGAAATAACCTTAGCGCTGCAGGGGCCGGTTCCGAAGCCGCCTTCGGTGCAGCACGAGGAGCTCGGATTACAGTGAACAAATACCAGAAAGGGTGCTCACCGCGCCCGAAGGAAGTGTTCGCGGATGCTGCGCTCCAGCCCAGGCAGTCTGGCCGCACGCAGCGCCCGCAGCAGCCGTACCCCCAGCGCCCCGGGCCGCGCTTCGCGGAGCTCCATGAGTTGCTGCCACAGCCTCCGTTGCAGCGCCGCGCGGCCCTCCCTCAGCGGTGGCGGAAGGCTCTGCGTCCCGGGATCCGCGAGCGCCTGCTGCAGCCGCTGCAGTCTCTTGAGGGAGATGTCCTGGAAAGCCATGAAGTCGACCACGGCGCGCTCACACTCCTCGGTCCCTGCGGGAAGGTGGAGCAAGGAGGTACTTAGTCAGGTGCCAGCGCCCCGGGAGAACAGGACCGTGGAGGGGTCTCCGCACGCTCATGAACGGCGAGGCGAGAGCCGTGCCAGAGGGTCCGAGGCGACCGCAGGAAACGTGTCGGACGAGGAGTGTGGCTCGTGGGCTGACGCTGAGAATGGGATGCGACGCTAAGGGGGCCCGCCACGGCTCGCTGCCGTGCCCTCCCGCGAACCGTTTAAACCCTCGAAGCCCATTTCCCAATGCCGGCGGGAAATGGCATCACCCGCCAGGGCTGAAACCCTCAGCCAGATAGTCTCCTGGCCCCGCCCCCACCACGCTTCCGGAAGCCCTTCCCAGGAACCAGTTAATAAGCCCAGAGCACCCCCACCCCGCCCCCTGCTCACCCGGCGCCCCCGGCTCCAGTGGGCCGAGCAGGAAGCTCGTGCAGTTGGTGCACAGGGCGTCGTGGAACGGAGAGCCAGGCACATTGACGGCCAGGCCCAGGGCCGTGCAGTTGCGGTGGGGCTGACACCGCTCCGAGCTCGAGCTGCTGGCGGAGAAGGTGCCCGGGGGGCACGGTTGGCACTGCGTGTTCTGGCTGGGGGTGCCTAGGGATGAGACGGGGAGGCCGCGGTCAGGAGAGCCGAGTGGTCCCTGTTCGGCGGAGGGTCCGCCCCGCCCCTCACCCACCGGGAGCGGCCACGCCGGCGCCGGGCGGGCAGGGCGCGTGCTCCAGGCAGAAGCCGGCGTGCTCGAAGAAACCGGACCGACAGCGGCAGGCGCGGTTGTGGGTGGCCCCGCACGGCCGCGCCTCCTCCTCGCGCTCCCCGCAGATAACGTTGCAGTAGCGGCAGCGCTCCAGATAGTTCCAAAACTGCGTGTAGTGGCGCGGCGGGCAGGCGCCGCACGTGGTGGGGCTGTCCCGGCCGCAGGGTCGCTGCACAAAGGTGCCTGGGGGGCACTGGTCGCACACCAGCCACTCCCCCGTCTCTGCGTCCCGCCACGGGTAGGTGGGCACGCCTGCTACCGTCCCACGTGCCGCGAGCGCCAGCAGCAGGGCAGTCACCGGCAGAGCTTTCATGGTCTCGGTGGAGCTGCGGCGGCCTCTGGCCGCGTCCTATAAGGGTCGGTCTTGCTCCGCCCCGTGGAGCCCCGCCCGCCGAGGAGGAGGGGTCGGCGACCTAGGGACCTAGGCTTTGACTCCTCCCTCCAGAGCCAGTGCTAGGGTGGTCCTGTGACGGCCCCCAGCACAAACGGCAAAGAGCAGGGCCTGATGCCGTTACCAGGCCTGGCAACTGCGGGGTGGAAGGGTCAGCGGTTTCCCCTTTGGACAAAGCATGTGGAAGGGAGACTGCTCAGATGTCCCCTTCCTCCCTGGAACCCTCACCCCTCCAACCAGCCCAGGACATGCAGACACGTCCAGCAGTGCAACAGCAACACGTCCAACAGCTTTATTGCATCTCTGTCCCTTGGTGAACAGCTGGTCCACCGAGGGCACCCCCCTACCCCAGAAGGGGCAAGGCTCCTTTTCTTCCTATGGGGGCTCTTCCCAGAGGCTGGCATCCACTCAAGTTCTGGGCAAGCACCTTCCAGTGGACCCACCCCAAACCCCAAGATGACCTCAGGGCCTCCCACAGGGGACCCAGATCCCACTGCCATCTCAGGGGCATCACCGCAGACACTGGACTGGCCTCCCTGTCAGGCAGGCTCTTTGACCCACCCCCAGCCAACAGGCAAGTGTCTAGGCAGTGCCCCAGGAGGGGCAGCCTCAGGGTCCACAGAGTGCCCAGAGGGGCTCCCTGTTCACTGGGGCTCTGGCCAGAAGACCTGCGCAAGGGTCTGCTTTCTCGTGGCAGCACGGCAGCCAGGGCACTTCCTAGAGACCTGTGGAGACAAAGGGCTGGACACACTGCCAGGAACCCCCTACCCCCAACCCTTCAGCCCCACTATGGGGAGCAACCCCTACTGGCTGTGTCCACAGGGTCACCACCGTGTCCACGGGGCCTGGCTACCAACCTGGAGGTGCTGTCGCCAGCAGGCCTGGCAGCGGAGGAAGTCACAGGAGGGGCACTTGAAGAAGACCACGTCCTCCGCCCTGCAGCCTGCACACGCCACGCCCGCTGCAAGGGGCCTGATGTGAGCACCATGGGCCTGCTGCATCCCGGCCCCCACTCCCAACAGTCCCTGTAGTCCTTCCCAGGAGACCTACCCCACTCCAACTGCGCCTGCCCGCGCGGGAAACTGAGGGGCGGGCCAGGAGCCCCCGTGTCCTCAGCCGTCCTCTGCATAAGGAAGGATGAGATCTTGCTCTGGGTCTTCTTGGGGCCTAAAGACAGAATGAAGCAGGTCTGAGGGTCCCTGGCGCTTCCCTGCTGCTCACCTGCCCACCCTGCAAGGGCTGAGGGGGACTGGATGACAGGGCAGCAGGAGCACCAGACAGGCAGCCCTACCTGGACTGGGAGCCTCGCGGACAAGGTCAGAAGGCATGGCAGAGCTCCCCTCCTGAGGTCCTGGAGCCTGGGTGCCTGGGCCACTTAGGTCCACACACATCTGTCGGAAGCGCTGCTTGTGGTGTGGCCGCACAAACATGCCAAACCCTGCAGAGATCATGGCTCAGGCCGGTTCCACTGCCAGCCCTGCTGCCTGCCCCCTCCCACCCCCACTCCAGCCACTTGCTCTGTAGCAGGGGTAGGTCCTCAGGCTTCTCGGTGGTGAGTGCAGCCACTACGGCCACCACCTTCTCAAAGTCGTCATCCTGCTTATACGTGGTCAGTGCTGTCAGAAGCTGGCTGTAGCCAGCAGCCCCCAGGGCGCGGCGGGCATCGGCCAGGTAGGCGCTTACAGTAGATGGGTGCTGCTTCTCAGCTCCAGGGGCTCTAGATCCCTTGTGCAGTGTGCAGCTGCAGTCTCCTGATGGGACAGTGACGTGTCTCAGTCCAGCAGCTTCCCAGGAGCTCACACCAACTTGCCCTGCTCTGGAGATCAGAGCCACAGTGGCCCCCGGCAACTCCTCCCCAGGGTCTTCCTGCTGCTCCTGACTCTAACCTGAAACCTCTTCAGATCAGTACCTGCGGGGAGTGGCCCAGAGGCCAGGTGGGGCCTGCCCTGGTTCAGCTGCTCGCAAGGGTCCAGTTGCCTGGCTGCATCCTGGGACACAGTCAGCTTGGGGTCAGACTCCTTCCTTCCTGAAAAAACAAAGAGACAAGCAGCTGTCCCATTGGTCCCTGAGGGTCCAGGGGTGCCCCAGGAGAGACAAGGTCTTTCCAAGGGGAGATCTGGCCTCAAACTCTTCTCAGGTCACCACAACAGCCAGGAAGGGTGGGGCTTCTTTCCTGGGGGGCAGGCACAGGGTGGGGTGTGCAAAGGGTGACTCAGGCTGGAATCTTCAATCCCAGAGCACCGTGACAACTATCCTGGGGAAAGTCTCGTCCAGAGATGGGCACCTCCTTACACAGGGAGAGCAGCTCCTAGGCTCTGGATGTGCAGGGCCTCTCCAGGTAGAGATGGGGCAGGCGGGTCTCCAGGGACTCCCCAGGCCCAGGCTCCATGAGGCCCGAGCCATGTGTGCTCCGAGGGCCCATGACCCCCAAAATGGGGCCACCTGTCTGGACCTCAGGAACAGGGAAGCTGGGCCATGTGAGGGCCCACCTCAAGAGCCAGGCGCCAACCCTCCTCTCGGACCTGGGTCTGAGGGTCCCACCCAGGCAGAGGACAGCTCACCACTGGAGTCCAGGGTCAGTTGTGCCCCCTGCCTCTGGGGATGGCCGTGCTTATGCGGGGAGCTGCAGCCTTGGCCCGTCAGTTGGAGGCAGACCTCCTCAAATTGCTGCTTGTGGTGGGGCCGCACGAACTGATAGAAGCCTGTGGGGAGGGGAGGGGTGGGGCTCTGGGCCTGCGGGTCCCTGCGCTGC